CCCCTCCTCAGTGGGGAGCCTGTGTATGCCCCGTGCTTCCCCCAGCCTTACCCCTGCCTCGGGATTTGGCGCTGGGCTTGAGGATCCAGATGTTGAGATCGCCCTCTACGCCGAACTGCGGCAGCTGCTCCGCCAGGCGCCGGAGCAGGTCCTGGCACCGCTCCCGCTGTGCCCCGCTCAGCGCCAGCCCGGCCCCCTCACTGTGGGGGGACACGGGGGGCTCAGCACCAGCCCCACCACGGTGCCCTCCGCGACCCCCATCCCGCTCAGCACTCACTGTGCCGCGCGGTAGTAATCCTGCAGGAAGCAGTTCCAGTCGATGCACGTCCTGCAGGGCGACGGGGTCTTCCTGTCGATGTCCTGGTGCTCCAGGACACCCAGGTGCTGCTCGCAGACCTCCAGGGCCTCCTCTGCCAGCCGGGAGGGAGAGGAGAGGGAGGACCCTGGCCCTTCTGTGGATGGCACGGGGTGAGAGATGTGGCTCCTGTGCCAGCCTTGGAGTCAAAGCACAGAGCCTCCCTGTGGGACGGGTGGGCTTGGGTACACGGGGATGGGGCAGGGGGCAGAACACCCATAAGGTGGGCTATAATGTGGGCTGTAACCATAAGGAGGGTGTGGGGGATCCCAAGCCACAGCCAGGAGCAGCTCAGCCCCCAGACACATCTCTAGCCCAGAACTTCTTGTTATCCACCCAACCCAGCTCCATGCACTAACCTGGCCCCTTGTTGGATTTTGGGGGCTTCTCCATCCTCACCAGCCTGTCCCCAGCCTTCTTCAGAGCCAGTTTGAGCAGGCTGCGAGCTGCCGTCAGGTGGAAATCCTCTGCAAGAGGGAGACATCCTCCCCATCCAGTCCTGCATGGCACTGGGAGCACGAGGGGGAGCAGGACAGCAGCAGCCTCAAGCTCACCAATGAAAGCTTCCCGCTCCTCCCTGGTCCCCAGCCGGTAGCACCGGGGGAAAAAGGTGTTGGGGTCGGCTTGCTCGAACCAGGGCAGGTTTTGCAGGCTGAGGCACAGCCCCTCCTGTTTAGAGAAGGTTGTTAATCCTTGCTGGACACCCCCGTTCCTTGTGTTGCCCCTCTCCAAGGCTTCCAGGCTCCCACCTTGGTGCTGAGGGCATGCACCCAGTGATAGCGGTTCACCACCTCGATCCTCTGCAGCAGCTCCTGGTCAATGGAACTAAGGCGGATGGTCCACAGGAAGTTTGGCACCTGGTCCCGCACCAGGTAGGACTGTGGGAGAGAAGTGGCCAGGGTGAGACAGGGAGCCCTCATCCCATTCTCGTCCCTTGCCCCAGGCTGTGCCCTGCGCCTGGAGCTCCCAGGGGAAGGGTGTGGGGGGCTGAGGCAGAGCTCAGCCCCAGCCCTATCAGCTAACCATGAGGTCATGGATTTCATCAGAGTCCTCATAATCTTCATCTTCCTCTTCCTTTTCCTCCTCCACCTCCTCATTGCGTGGCCATGGGTAGTGCAGGGGCTCTGTGGACCCCAGGGAAGGCTGTGCCCCACCACGTGGGTTCAGCACTGCCTCCCCTTGCTCATCACCATCATCACTTGACTCTGTCTCCGGCTGCTGTTTCTTTTGGCCGCCAAGCTGCTGCTTCAGCCGTCTACCCTCGCGGGGGAGCTTCCTCTCCACCCAGCCCCGAGCCCGGAGCAGGGAACGGATGACGGGGTAGGCGGCCCCGCACCGCCGAAAGCATCTTCTTACTCCTGCACTAGAGACCAGCAGAGCCTCAGCCTGCCCCACCCTAGTCCCTCAGCTCAGCTCTCCTGAGCCAGAAATGCCCCAAATGTAGTGCATGGCGTTTTGAGGGCGGGCCTGAAATCAGTGCTCCTCACCTGAATGGCCTTCTCACACGCCGTTGGCTTTCCTGAGCAGCGCCAGCGTCACCGAGCGCTGGCGCCCCATGTGGTGGCCGGTTGGTGGCCAAGCTGCCACCTGGACCCCGTGAGGAGAGCCCCGCTGGAGCCCACAGGCCCCACTGGGCAGGCAGGGAGGGGGAGAAGATCCTGACCCGTCTGCCTCTCCCTCACTGAGCTTGGGGCCCCTGACATGGCATTCCCTGACCTGCCGAGCTTCACCCCCGCATCCCAGCTGCACTGCCCAGCCCCAGGATGCCCCGCTGTGCCCCTGTCCCCAGCCTGCTGTCCCCGGAGGTGGCTGGGGTGTCACTTGCTCAAGTGCTGCCCCTGGCTCTGGGGCTGTGGGCCTGCAGTACTGCTCTCTCTGTGACACTGTCCCATGGCACCCTGATGGTGAGGGGAGCTGTGGGTGGCTTTGCGTCTTCCAGGCCAAGCAGATCGTCCTATTCCCTGGTCCCGCTGGTGTACAGCGCAGGACAGGGCCTCCCCAACCCCAGCACCACTGTGATGTCACAGTCCCAGCCTCCAGGAGGAGGAAGTAGGTGAGCTCTCCTTGGGGGTTGGAGTGGATGATCTCCAGAGGTTCCTTCCAACCCTAACAATTCTGTGACTCTACAGGCAGCTCAAAGCAGCCTCAAAGCCAAAAGCCCTGGTTCTTGTGGGGGGTTTTTAACTACCCCGAGAGCTGCTGGAGAAACAACACAGCAAAGCACAGACAGCCCAGGAGGTTCCCTGAAAGCTTTGATGCCCATTTCCTGTCACAGGTAGTGGATGATCCCACAAGGAATGGTGTGCTGCTTGACCTCATACTAATAACCAGGAAGAGATGTGAAGGCTTTGAACTCTCCTGGCTAATCCCCATGACAGAACTCTGCCAGAAATACAGTTCTACCCTACAGGATGAGTTATAATTTCTGACTGTGCTGTTTGATTTTATTTTGATGGCTACTCTTTAGCAAATTGCCCCTTTTACTCTCCTTTCAGAGATGCTGTTGCATTTACAATTGTTCATGGGCTCCTTGCCCACACTGCCTTCTACAGCTTAAGCACTACTATTTTTGTTATTTACAGTCATCTGCAGCCAGCAGAAGTTTTATGCTGACAGACAAAAATCATATACTGATATTAAGAGTTCCAAGAGAGCTGAAACTTGAAATGGTATCTCAGTTGCCTGTAAAGTCCTTATACTGAACTGTTACATGCTACCCCTAGTAGGATATTTTCTCTGTCTAACAGCTTGTCATAAACTACTCATGCACGACCAGGTTCATACAAATAATATGGTCAGTAGCGACATTTGAAACTGGTATCTCTCTAGATACGGCTCCTTGCTTTGTATTTGCCTTGGTTATCTCCTAAATATCCCATGTGCATGTGCAGCTGGAGTCAAAAAGGGATCACTGCGTGCCCTGGTTGCAAATGCTGAACTTTCTGTTGCCTCTGCACACAACCAATTACCTGTCTTAGGTAATTACTGAATTATGTCTTCATACCTATATATTTAAAGTAAAAGGGTAATGTATCTTCCAGGAAGAAGTTTTATGCTGGGATAGAAAATAGCCTTATAAAGCCAGACCTTTACAAAGGACACGTGTCACAACAGCAGCTATTCCATGGAGTATGCTGAGCTAGATCCAAGACTTGGAATCACATGAGGATAAACCTTTTACCAGACTAAGCCCTTAACAAAAGATCATATGTAAGCAACATATTCTATAGAGGAAAAACTTGATATGATTTTCTTTTATTGTAACCGAGACATATTTCCTGAGCACTGCATGATTCCTTCCCTGCAGAGGAGTAGCCTTTTAGATCTTTGTCTCCTAAAAATACATGCTGAAATAGGTTCTTCCAGCTGGTGGGCTTAATCCTTAAATTTTCTATTAAAGAGGGTTGTAAAGCCTTCTAAGTGACCACAAATAGCAGCACGTTCACGGAGGAATTCTTGCTTTCTTACAAGCTCTATTGTTGCAGCATCAGGGCTCCATAGCTACAAAATAAAGATATTTGTAGTTAATTGAGATGTGAATTCTGCAACAGGAACAGTAAGAAGGTACTGTGAGCCAAACTGAGCCATATTCTAGCACTCCTTTGCACTTGAGATATAGAAGAGAACTAGTGTGGCCTCCCAGCAGAAGATGTGACAACAATTTGTGTATGAATAAGCAAGGCATTCTCTTGTCACTTCCAATCTATAACATGCCATGGGTTCACATTACAGATAATGTGGGAAAGATCTCAAGGTAATTATTTAAAATTACTGACTCAGGCCCACAATCCTCAGAGTGAAAAATAGTAATTAGCCGTAGAGTCACAGGCAATGCAGCCTCAGTCCCCTGAGACCATGGCAGAAAACAGCACAAATCAGGGTTAGGGAAATGATAAACAAACTCCAAACACAACTCCTCAGCCAGAAATGGTTTTCTTTTCCTTTTGAAGGAGAAAAAAAATATATTAAAAACAAACCTCTCTGCGATCATCTTTTTCTCAGTTATTTGTGAGTATTAACAAGTCCCTGACAGAGGTGTTATATTTCCAGTATTCTGACTCTAGGAAGTAAGTGTTTAGTGTACTGTGATCCATCCAGTTCAGTAACTGTCACTGACATAATTCATGTGATAACTAATCAAGAAGTTGGTGCTCGTCCTATGCACAGACTCCTATCCTTTAAAAGGAGTGTGAAAATCCATACCACGAATGCAGTTGCGTTTGTATTTTACTGTGAGTCCTGTAAACGTTAACCCTGTTTTAAAATCTGATAAGAGCTTGATTTCCACAATAATTTGTTATGTGTATTTATATAATACATATCCATGAACGCTTTAGTTTACCTCTGTTTTGTGGCCGCCTCCCCAGCCTGTGGCACATCATCTCTAAGACGGTGGAATTGTGAAGTCATTTCATTGTGAAGTCATGGATTGTTCTGGATTTTGATCTCAGCAAAATCTTACCTTTACATTAACATGAAACTTTCACTACTGTACTTACCTTTCTGGGTTTGAAGCTGATGTCATCTTTGTTCCTCTCTTTTGTTACCAAAGGCTTCCGAGCACTGGCCTTTCGGGAACGCAGTGTCAGTTCAGGAACAGGTTTTTCTACAGCTGGCGGAGGTACCTCTGGAGACTGGAAGAGAAATTATCAGCTATTCCAACACATTGTGCTCAGAAGCCAGACACACATCCTGCATCTTCTGAAGCTCTTCTGCAATTTCCTTGCCATGAGTGTACTTTTCTTAATCCATTCAGAATCTGTTTCTCTTAAAGCTGATATTATTTTTTAAAATCAAAAATTGCGAGGGCAAACCTTTTGAAAGGTAAAGGATTCTTCTCCTCTTTGGGCACTAAACCATTAACTGCTCTTTATGACACACAAGACAGTCACCTCCTACTGCTGGTGACTCCATCCTCTGCCAGGTGATAAATAAACAAGCCCCTAAGGTCTTCCTCCTGCCTGTGAAAGTCCTGTGCTGTGCCTGGCATTCAAAACACTCTGAAAGGGGTAAACCAACATTTAGCTACTGGGACATATTCACTGCACTGTCCAGGGCAGGACTGCTGAAGGACATGTCCAACCATGCAGATACAATTGCATTTTCTGCCCAAATAACGTCCTGGGTCTGACTAACAAGAAACAGGAAGGTCCCATCCACAATAAGACAACCAGGATGTGGTCATGGAGGCTTAGCTTGGGAACCAGGGCAGTGCTGAGGTACTTGAGGATCCCTGGGGAGTGCAAGAAAAGCACCCAGAAATACAACAGGCAAATGTCAGTGTGGGATTTGAGAAACAGGACTCAGGTCAGCAGTTGAAATGGGAAGTTAAAAAGCTTGGTATCACCTCAATGAATTCCATTAGCAGAACGAAAAGACCTTTTCATCAATTTGAAGGGCCTTGTTCTTATCTTGAGAAGAAACAGGTGCTCGTTTAAGACATGGTTACCAGTTGCTCAGCATTTACCACAACAGAGCTGGATGATCATAAACTTCAGGAGAAGGGAAAAAGAACAGGAACTATCTTTCTGTGTCCTGTCAGTGATATGGGGAATAATTCTTATGTGGGTCTGGGGAAGTCATGAACTTTGTATAATTAGCAAGACAAAATTTTAATTGATGAACAAGTACTAGTACTGACAAGAATAAGTACTGGCATCTGAAAATACTTTAACAAAGCAGCCTGATCTATAGCTTTAGAGAGAAATGGATGGCAAAGAAAGACAGAAGCACTCTACTAACTATTAGCAAATCAGTCCTTTGTTACTATCTCTCATACCTCTTTTTTCTCTGATGACTTTGGCTTCCCACCTTTTGCCGTCTTTGCTTCTTCTTCTGGTTCTGCCAAATTCTCCATAAGATTTTCGAGCAGGTCAATTATTTTAGCATTGTCAAATACTTTGGCAATATCAAGAGCATTCTTCCCTGTATTTAAAAACATAAATACCCGTATAAACCATGAAAATCAACGTTAGCACTTGTTATTGCAATTTTATAATGACAGTACAGTCAACCGAATTTAATTTGGCTACTATTTTATTAATTATTTTATTAATTCCATGTGCCAGCAGCGTGCCTGACATTGGTGTGAGGGCCAGCAGTCATCAGCATTACTTGCAGAAGTAAGACCTTGCAGAAACAAGCCTTGAAACCCAATATTGCAGGAATTCTTGGAGTGGTTGCTTTGTTCTTAATGTCCTGACATTTGCAGCTTAATATACTGGTCCTGCAAGCTGTCATTTTGATCTCTGAGATCATTTAGCACTAGGAAATGGCTGGCACAGTACAAGGATAGGAATGCAGACCAAGTTATTGTAGCTATCTCCTTCTTCCTGGAGCTGGCAAGGGAAAGCCCCATGGTTTAAATGGACTGAACACCTTCAGTGCTTAATAAAGGGAAAAAGGCCTCTCCTGGATCTATGAGATTCTGTGGCTGTAAATTACTGTGAGAGTGAACTGCTGTGTGACTCAGAACTCCACATGGAACCAGAAATAAGGAATATACATCCCTTCTACTGGCAGGGTTTCACCTAGTAGGCATTTTGGCAAGGGAAGTCTCATTGTGGGGCAATGTTTCTTCCTAAGCTGGAGCAAGAGCTGCAAATGGGATGCATGGTAACTGTTTAAATTACTGTGGAAACAGGGGCAATGACACTGAATGAGGGATCTGCTGTGAGGAGGCAACATTTCAGTATCAGTTCAGATTTGTTTTCTCAGGGAGTAATATTTATGTAGAGCAGCAGGGAATTTTTTTAACCAGAGCTGTCTATGCCTAAAAATAAATCACTTAAATGGGTGGCAAAGTATACACCAGCCACAACTGAAATCTAATTTTCCCTCAAATAATAATAATAATTAGATAGAATGTTTTCATTAAAGCCACTTATAACTCTGTATGTATCTTCTGAGGAGCAACAGCCTCCTTAATTGTGTAATTAATTATGTTACTTTATTTTCTAGATGCATAAAACCCAGGAAAGCTGACTATTTACAACAGTGATTCCACACTGTAGAAAACTAATTGAACCTGTTACCTTCATCCTGATCCTGATAGCAGCCCTAAATTCAGGATGCTTATACAAAGTGTTCCAAGGACTCAGTGTTTTTAATACAGAAACAGCCTTTTTTGGAGACATTGATATTTACCATTGCTGTTTGTAATCTGGATGTTGGCACCTGCAGTGATTAAAAAGTAGACAATGTCCAGCCTGCAGGCCTCAATGGCTCTCATCAGCGGGGTGGTGTTGCCTATTCCAAGGGCATCCACTGCTGCTCCAGCCTTCACCAGCAGCTCAGCAATATCCAGGTGTCCATTAGAGCAAGCATGATGCAGAGGAGTCCACAGGAAATTGTCTGTCATGTTTACATCAGCCCTGCAAAAGAGTAAGAGCAGCTGTGGCAGGTGAAGCTGCCTAATGGCTAAAATAACATCCCCAGCTCCAAGGACAATCCATGGGAACTGCCCACTGCCATGGCAAATTCCATGTCAATGGCTGTGTTCATATTGCTACTCTGAAACCATTTGGGTCTCTGATATAGAGCTTCTCATGGAATATTAATTGTAGGAGTGTGTCTGGGTGTGACCGTGTCCCACTCCAAGCCAACACAGTGTCCTCGATGTGGAGGTTTTCACGGGGGCAGGAAAAACAACAGGCATTCAGACACCTCAGTCCTGCAACATGCTGCTAGTGTTTGTGCTCCAGCTGCACTGGGGATGGCAGAGAGCAGATTAAGGAATTCGAAAAAGTGTGTTTCTGGGCCAAGAACAGGTGCTACAAAACATGGCAACGCTGCCTAATGTGTGGATGTGCCGAGTTCATCTGCACAAGATGTTCAGCTCTCCCTTTCCTTTCCGTGTTGCTGCCCTCTGCCTGCTTCATTTCTGTTCACTGGCTTCTCCCTCTGACAAGTGAATTACAGAAGCTCTGCCTCAGGAATCTGAGCATTGGAAACTTTCTCAGCTACTGGGTCACTGTACTAGATCTGTTTCTGCTCCCAAATTAAAATTGGGATGTTCTGGAGGATGCAAGGGCTAGTTCAGGGGAGATATTTGCAATATGCTGGGATGAACTGATGAAGGGATGAAGAGGAAAAGCATTAACAGCCCTAGAGGTCCTGAACGGAGTTAAGGTCACTGTCCCATTTACTCTGTGGTCAAAAAGCTGCTGTCTTCCCAAAAGACAGGGAGGGAGAGGGAAGAAAAATTATAGGAGAAGCTGCTTCCAGAGATGGCTTTTTGCTCTTCAGGTCAGGTGATTAATATTGAAGTCTAGAGAAAAGCACAGATACATCTGTTCTTCTTTCCTTGTTTAAATTTTTAATCTCTTTCAGAATTCTACCTCTGGTGAGATCTTATCACAGAAAATTCCCCCAACCCCTGACTTTTACCTTTGTTATCTTTCAGCTGCTGAGCTGTTATGGTTTATTTGTATGCAGTTTCCCTTTCCTTCATATTTCTCATTAAGATAAGCTGTTCCAGTTATTCCACTTTCTCTCTCAACCCAACCTCCGTGCCTGTACTCGGACTCTGTCTGCCCCTAAATCCTTCTTTCTAACTTCATTCTTTCAGAAACAAACTGATCAATGGGAACAGGCAGCACTGACTTAAAAATTCTTCAGTGTTTACTCTGATCAAGCACTGAGTTTACCTTTAGCCCAAATTTCATTTACTTCTGAGTCTTTCTGGAGCAAGATAGAAAGTAGATACCACCAATTTGTGTTTAAACCTTGGAATTTTCTATAGTTCTGGAAAAATATGTTTTGTTTTCTACTCTGTATGTGTTTGTGATACTGTACTGAAAAGGTTGTACTGTAAAAAGGATTTGAATGCCCATGCCAAACCGAAAGTCCATGCTGCTGAGAGATGCAAAGCAAAACACTACTGGTAATTTTCCTCTCCATTTTCATTTCTGTCAATTTATAAATCTCAGAAGTGGTACTATTTTTTTAAGCTAAGCTATTACGTTTCTAGGTCTCACTGTTAAATATGATGTGACTCCAGTGCTGTCTAGTGAGGCTTGCTAAAAGTAGTGGAGATTAATTTGGTAGATTAATTTGGTAGCTGTTACATCTTTATCTTTGGAAAACCTGAATATACACATTACACAACTTCCCATATGCTCCAGGAATGTCAGTGTAATTACCAGGGTGTGTAAAGATCCACATGCTGTTAATCTTTGCAGGAACCAGAGCAACAACCACAGTCACTTACCCTGAGATATTAATGTTAAAAATAACCCTATCTATGGGTAAAGAACAAAGTTAACATAAATATCTTTGAAAAATGTTCATTTAAGCATTTATGTGAACGACTGTAGGACTACAGCAGTGTGACATTAAGAAGAGATTATGCTATTACACAAGCATGACTGAATCTTTCTGAAATTGCTTTCATTTTTAAGCCATCATTGAGATTTTTCCCAAGTGTGTCTGTAGGCTACAAAATTGCTGAAGCACTTCTAAAGTGAGGAACAGACTAAATAGCAGCAGGGGCTTCTGGTGTAAATCCTGCTGCCTCAGCTGCAGAGGAAAGTGATTATAAGGCCTAAAACATCTGCATGCAAAGGCCCTGGCACGTGGAACAGGGAAGTCCAGGGTCACCTTGATGATTTCAGGCAAGCCACTTCAGCCAGATTTCCCCAGAATCATTCACCCACTTTTGAGTGTTCAGCTTTGAGGATGTACTGCTTGAGACACGGGCATGAACTAACAGCAGTTCCAACAGAACTCTGCAGCTGACCAAAGGTCAACAGCCCAGACACTGAAAGTTTCAGGCCTGAGGAACTTACCTCTTGGGTGCTTCCACTTCCCTGTTAGTAAAAGGTGAAAACTAATACACTAAACTTCTGTGAAGTGGGATCTTAGGGAACTGACTTTAATATTAAACGTTATATAAGCAAAAAACCAAACCTGTTGCATACTGGAAATGTATGCTTTTGAAAACCTTTCCAATATAGCAATTAAATTGAAATCGTCTTACCCCTTTTCCAGAAGAAGCTCCACAAGGACCACGTTCCCACTTGCACACGCAACCATCAAAGGTGTTTTGTAATATCTATCTTTTATGTCAACTGGCACACCCTCCTCAAATGCTTTCTGCAGGGACACGATGTCTCCTGCTCTGACAAGGTAGTTAATATCCAGGTACGTTTTCCTTGGCTCCTCCAGGTACCAGACACGGTCGTCGTGCACGGGGTGGGCAGAGGGGTGGTCCCGTTTAAATCTCTCCTCATCAGGAATGTTTGGAAAAGCCTCAACCAGGTACACAGGCAAGCCCTCTTCCCCGCGCGGATATTCCCTCTTCGGAATGACACAGACCGGCACAGGGAGCCCTTTTTTGCCTTTTGCTTTCGCCCCCTTTTTCTGCTTCTTCGCTTTGGGCCCAAAGGACGACATGAGAAAGTTTTTGTCCAGGTATTTGGAGCCTTTAAAAAACTCGTCGAGGTTGATCCTGTCGGGCTGCACTTCATGCATTTTAGCAATATTTTCCATTTCTTCAGCACCCAGGAAGCCCCACCACTTCTGAATTACGGACACAAAGTCAGCTCTGGTCACCATCCCATCTTCTTGGAGGAGAGCCTCAAACTCCTTGCGGAGGGAATCCTCGTGCTCCAAGGACCAGTCGTACAGCCTCAGGTGCCAGGCAGAGACCTCTTCCTCGGGGGATAAGGTTTTTTTAAAGCCTTTTTCAATTTTACGCAAAATGGTTACTGCTGCTTTAAAACCGCCGTTCTTGGCAGCCTCTCTTGGGGTCAGATGTAACAGGTTTCTCCATGTAGGATCACAGCCTAAAATATGGACACAATTTAGCTGATAGTGGAGTGGAATTCCTAATTATGTCACTTAAGAAACTTGTGATGTACAGGCAACTCAGTGCCACAGGTCTGCAATTTTATACTGTTTTAACTTTAAGGAGCCATAGTAGGTGGAACCACATCATTGATCCCAGACTGGAAGGTCAGCCACATGTCCATATTTTTTTCCCAGTGGGAGAAGCACTGAGCAACCCATGCTCTGTTTATCCATGCACTCATGAATATGTATAGAAAGGCAGAAGTTCAGTGGAAACTTTACATTTTTACTTAGTGGTAAGCAAGGTTAAGAAGAAACAAACAAAGGTGAAAATATCATTCAGTGTTCTATACCCTAACATTACAATTTGGCAATGGATCAGTTTGAATCACAGAAACAGAACACAGGATTTTTCATGGTCCTCTTCAATCAAAGCTGGAAGTACTATGATCATCTGATTAAGTCAGGAAGGGATCACAGCTGCTTTGGAGTTTGTTTCAATACCCACGGGCATGGAGTTTTCTTCCTGACTACACAGAGATTTTTGCAAAAGTTTAAAAGCAAAAATTTATTTTCTATTGGAAATTTCAATGCAATACATCTAAAAACAACTAAAACCAGAACTACTTAATACTGTCCAATACAACCCCCTGATGTTGCTGCTGCTTTCTTTGAGAAATATTTTCTCACCCACATGAGATAGCAGCCTCTGTCAGGCACTTCTTAATGAGAACCACATTTGCCACGTGGTACCCGAGCGACAAGTCCTTCAGAGATGCCCAAATGAAACCTTTCCTTTAGCACAGAAATAGAATATAGATGATAGTTGCAAAGTAACTTATTTTTAATGTACCTCTTTGTCCTATATACTTGCAGCAATCTGCAAATCCTCCCTCTGCAGCATAATGAAGTGGCGTGTTCCCATTCATAGCAATAAGTTTCAAGTCTCCATTATAAGCTGAAATAGACTTCAGAATCTAGAAAAACAAAGTACCACCAAAAATCTTGTCTGTTTGTTAAGGTGGGAAAACGTGAGATTAATTTACAAATAAATGCAATATCATATATTCCCATTTTACACAGCAAAGTTCTAGCCCATGTCCAGCTGATCGATGCACATGTAACATTGTTTTCTATAGTATTATGCCTATTTAACTGAGGAAACAAAAACCCCGGGCAGTTGTAGACTCCAAGGACAATCTCCGTTCCTGCCAGCTCGCTGTAGGCCACTGTCTGGCCTATCTACCACTGCTGGATTCCTTTGGTACTTAAAAAGAAGCTGCTTTGGATTGCTGATTATTATGCTTTGATCAGCTGAGATACTGGACTCAACCCCCCCAGCCCCCAAGACTTTGCTTTAACACCACAAATGACGATACCTCAAAAAAGCCTCCTTTGGCTGCAAAATGTGCAGCACTGTGTCTCTCAAAGTCAAACAGGTTCACATCAGCTCCTCTGGCGAGCAGAGCACGCACCACCTCGACAGCACCTTCCCTTGCAGCCTCCATCACAGCCGTGCGACCCGTGGCCTGCCAGGCAGCAAGAAAACACTTCAGCATTTCTTCCTCGTGCCAATCCAGGCTGGAACAATGTGATCTGATTGTTGCAAGGTGGCATAAAACTGAAAGTCTCCTCTTAGCTAGCACTGGGAAAAGGAGACAAGTCTCATAGTTTCAAAGGCACTGCAGGTAAGCTTTAAGAATCAAGTCATGGTGCTGCTAAGATATGAGTAGTCAAATCCCAGCAACTCAAGTACATTGGTAGCTCGAGTGCCTTGAATAGTGCCCGTGAAAATCAATTCCTTGGTTAAGGAATCCTTTATTCTGTGTGCATGTTCTCATGCATATTTACAAAATTTGACACAAAATACCACTTCAGCTTATGAAATATGGAGCTATGGCTGGAGGAGTGCTGTGGGGAGGGCAGAACAATCGGAATTTCGCTACTGTTCTGTGAGGAAAAGTTCATGCTCAGATACATTAATGATTTGTCTTTTTCTAGATAATGATGTATGTTTGTGTTTAGCAGAATCTATTTTCTTTATTATGGCTGACTTTGGCAGATCTGGTGACCTTCCCAAAAACACAGCATATCTTGGATGAGGGATAACCTGCTATTATCACGTTGGCCCACAGCAACACTTGCCACTCTAGAGAGGGGCAAAGAGAGCAGTGATCCATGGATTTTGTTCCATTGAACCAAACATTCTTCCCTGATATCTGTCTTTGTCAGCCAAGCAAACCATTCCTGTTATACGACCAGGATACTGCAAAAACAGAACCAAAGGAAAAGCCTTGAATAACATTAAAGGAAAGCTCCAGCTTCTAGACTTACCAACAGCACAGAGCTTCAGTCCATCAGATCTTTGTTAAATTAAGGAACCAAACAAGTAAGTCATTAAGACATACAAAAGAGAGATAAGTTTCTAATGTCTCATCCCTGCCTTGATTCCCCATCAGGTTGTTCCTGCTGGACTCACCTTTTAGTGAATATTATTTGAACTCTGAAAACCTGAGGGCACAATGAGGCAAAGTGCAGATCAGCACTGCTCCAGCGAAGTACAGTGAACTGTAGCTTCTAAGAGCTGGCCCAGTTCCAGTTTGGTTTTGTGAAATATTTGTAGAAAATCCAAATCAGGATATGTGGATCCAGCAGAAGACTTAAATCCCTCTGCTCCAAAAGAAGGGTGGTACAGAGGATGGGAATAGGCATGGCCACAGAGCTGAGCCCTTCTCACTGCTTAATTATTTCAATGTGAGGATTT